TATGTATATTTGGGCTTTATGTTACATTTTCTGTTGTTTAATGAAAGTTGAATGCATTATTTAAGTATCATGTGTGTTACCATGATGGTGTTTTGTGTTTGCATGAATGACTTCTATAGAAGTGCACCTTCTATATATTAGTATATACTTCTGCTTGTGGCGAAGCTACTTGTGATGAGCTTTGATTCTTCGTGTGGCTTTCTCTTTTACCACCTGCATTATTATGGTGGTTGTCAGTATGTTAAAGGTACAAAACAGATTTTAATAGCAGTGTGCATTGTTGAATTTACTGGTTTACATTCAAATTTTCTTGTTTGTAAATTACAGTTTTATACTGTAAAATGTACAGTTTTTGGCTGTAAATGTGTTTACAGTTTTTCTGTATTTTTTACAAAATTATTCTGGCAACCACAGCTGCCAAAATTATTTTGTAAAAACTACAAAAAAAATTTAGGCCACATTGCCTCTTTCTCTATTAAACGCGTTAGTTTACATGAGAGGGCCTTGATTCGGATTAAAGGGCTCACTAGCTATTCACGGGTGAAGCGATGTTGCCTTGTCGAATTATTTGCAATTACACAACATTTTTATTCGTTCAGCATAACTCCTTATAAGAGAAATGTGATTAAAACTGGCTTATTTCCTACTCTTCCTTTACTGTTAACAACATAGTATTTGGAATTGTTTGAATTAATAGGTGTTGTGTTGGGGCCAACAAAGAGGATACTTGTGGTTTTATTCATCGGCTACTCAATTTTGCATTCATTTTTATGTGTGTGTGTGTGTATGTATGTATACACACACACACACACACACACACACATATATATATATATATGTGTGTGTGTGTGTGTGTGTGTGTGTGTATATCTTCCATTTAAGGTCCTGCTTTGCTGCTACACAGATTGTTTTTATATAATCAAAATATACTGATCACATTCGTTTGTAATATTTGCTGGAAAGCGCAATGGCGGATGTTAGCTGGTACAAAAGGAGGCAGAGCGGCTTTGGTTTCTACGAGCGGTCTGGGAGAGCAGTGAAGGGGTGCTCTGGGAATTGAAACCCAAATCCACTTGTAATCTTACAACAGTATCGGGCATAATTGGCCGAGGGGAGCAGATTAAGATTGATGAGACGTTAAAGTGGCTCTTTGCAGTTCAGGGGGATCGATAAATATCCCAATTTCAAGAGCCTCTCCTCACATCCAGGACGGAGCCGTGGGCTGCTTCAAGGGTGAACTAATAAAAGACAGAGGACTGGTCAAAGAGAACAATTTAGAGCGCGCGCGCATTTGGGATTAGATCCTAGTCATCTGTAAATATTTTAATAATGTTTGTAAGGTCAATTTTACAGATTTCATATCATCAAAAGGGAATTTCAACGACTGATTTGATTAGGAAGCGCATAAATGCGTATCACTCACATATTATTTGTTTTGTAGTAAAATAATGAAAGAAAGTGACTGTGAAATTATTGCCGTTAGGCGTCATAGAAACGCTTACCTATTAAAATGATCGAAGGGATATTTTCTTTATATAATTTCAGATAGCCGATGCTTCAATTTGGAGGACTAATCGTGTAATTGCTGAAATGATTCGCTTTAACAATTTACATATTTTCCCCATTTCATTTTTCATGCGTATGTTTGTGTAAAACTCTGCGCTATAGTTACCTTTTGATTCGATTTGGAAAAAAAAAAAAACTAAATTCATAATTTTTTTTGTGTAAATCCAAATTATTTTGAATATACCTACTACGTGCAATATATTTCGCACAGCACGCAAGATCACGCCATTGCGTATAAGATCGTTAGACCCCCGTCATGTCCAAGTCTACAAGCTTGAAAAAATATTACAAACACATTCTGAAGAAATGTCACACATTGCTTAATGTACGTGTATGGTTGTGTATAAATACATCAGCTACTAACGGGCATTATGTATCGTTTTGTTGGTGACTGCCTGGCGAGACCTAGGCTATTCTGTTTTATTTTCCCCAGTGAAAATAAAAGTCTGTTTCCTTTTTTATAGGCCCTGTTGTTTTGAGCACCCCGGCCCAGCTTATTGCCCCGGTCACTGTAGCTCGTGGGACTCTCTCTATCACTACCACGGAAATCTATTTTGAAGTGGACGAAGATGACCCAGCCTTCAGACGCATTGATGCCAAAGTAGGTTGCATTTGTATTATGTATTTGTAAGTGTGTGCACATAAAAATACCAAGCCGATTTGCACTCTAAATGACATGGAACTAAATAAAATACCATAAAGTGTTTAACAATCTTACAGCTTTATTAAAACCGTCAATTATTTAATAACGTTAAAAATATGTATTTTTTTCTAAATCGAGGCCCATGCCTTGAATGCCCCCTGAGGCCACTTTTTTTTAAAAGGATTTGAATAAAGGTAGTTTTTACTAGACCTGCATTCATGACAAAATATCAGTTAGAATGATGATTTATGTACAAATAGCCTATGTAAAAATAACCAAAGCTTACGTGTTTAAAACTCATAATCGCGCAAATCGGGAATCCTCACTTTTGTATATTATATTGAGTGAAGGAAATATAGTCTAAAAAGCTGTAAGTTAAAATGACATTATTTTAACATTATAAATGAAGGGGTGCATTTCAGATGTGTCAAACTGTCATGAGAGATTTTTATCGTTAAGCAATTCATATTTCAGTTCATCTGTATCCTTCGCTCAACAACACTGTTCACAGGAAGAAGTTTTTTCTTTCTTTCTTTCTTTTTCTGTTTTGGTGTTTTCCCCGCTTTTTTATTTTTATTTTGTAAGAATCAGGCTACATCGTGTCATTTTTATGCCAAAGATCCAGATGCTCAAAGATCCCCCCAAAAGCGTGCCTTTTCTTACGCTGCAATGTTTATGCATCATGAATCATTATTTGGACACAAATATTAATTTGTTTTTATTAACTCTTTAAATAAACTCAGAGACAGATCTAAAAAAAAAAAAAAAAAATCAAATCACAAAATGTTATATTCCAGTGTATTTCAAGTGCATTATTTTCAGGTATATTTTTTCATATATATATTCTCAATTTCAGCCTTTTATCAGGTAAGCAAGGTACAAACAAAAACGGTCGAATATACTTTAAATAAGAATTCAAGTATGCGTATGGAATGTTTGGGAACGTAACAAATAGTACCATTAAAATGTAAACTTTAGAGATTTGCCATTGACAATAGATTAAATCGCTGATGAAGGTCTAAATGTTTTTTCCTCTTTCTCTCTTCAGAAATAATCCAGGCGAATGTTAAAACAGGTGAAATTAGACTTCTATTTACGTGTCACAGTACAACATTCACAACTGAAGACCACCGGATTCACAATCTACAAATGTGTCTATTTACAGTATAAAATGTACAAGTTGTATTCTGTCACATAGCTTTTAGGTAAAACGTGTTGTTGGGCAGGGCTCGTCAAAAGAAAAGAAAGAAACAGTAATACTGACAGGCAACCATTCATTTTGATTGTTGATACAGTTTGCTCCCTCCTTAAGACAAATTCATTTCATGTGAAGTATTTTCTAAAATATTGTTACAACAAAAACTACGTGGGTTGGTTTCAACAGTGACCATTTTGTGGAAGAGTTCCTGATTAGCATCGTCTAGGCCTCAGAACTTTGATCGGTCACAAACATGCCGTTTATTTTTACCTCAGAGTTTCTCCAGGCTTTTAGGGTTGGTTAGAATTTCTCTCGCCAGTCGCCAAGTCTGTTTGGCAGAGTTTTCAAGGCCCGAATGTGGCTTTCCTTGGAAAAGGTCTAGGCTTGGCAGAAAATAATGGGGGCATCTCCTGCACTGCAAGCACGAAATGAGCTGCAATAAAATCCCGTTCAGTCGATCCCCGAGGCAGTTCTCGTCCCAGTCCGACTCGCGCGGGTGTTTTTCGCACTCGTAAGACACAAGAGATTTCATGTGGTAGTTGTTGAGAGGCTGCCCGGGTAGTTCAAGGTGACGGTCGCGCAACGTCTTGAGCAGGGACAGGCATTTCTTCCGGCACCCTCCCAGGAGCAGTCGGTTCTCCGCTTCGGCGAACTGCAACACCCAGGCATCACTCTCCGCCGAGCTCTGCTTCCCGTTTAACGAGTAACACTCCTTCGATAAGAGATTGAAACCCTCGGCTTTGACTTCTGCCACCCGGTTCGGACCAGGCCACGGGACGTGCGGCATCGGCCAGTGGGCAGCGCTGCGCGGCCATATGCCGGTGCACTTGAACGCGGGGGTGATCTGAACCACATATCTGTCTCTGATGCGTAATTTCACCTCGCTGGTGTCCGCGATCATTTTAACCACGTCCCTATAGCTGCACTTATCCACCGCTTGCGCCACGAGCGTCTGGAACCTGGAGCGGATCTTGCGCGCGGACAGGTATCCCGAAGCCGTGATGAACTCGACCCAGAGGGACATACTTCTCTTCCGCCCGTCGCTTAGCTTGAGCACGGCGCAGCCCGGCAGAGAGCCGTCGTCCACGAAGTTGAAGACCCCCATCTGGTTCAGATACAGGACCACCTCGAATTCTGTTGGGGAGATGACCTCGAGCCCCTCGAAGCGGTTATCCATTTCGTTTAAGGAGCTGATAAAGCGAGGCTCCTGGACCTCCACCTCCTTCAGGACATCTGAGACCACCTTGCACACCTCCCGGATGGTCTTGGAGATGGCCGCTTTCCGAGACTGGCATTTCTCGTTGTAGTATTTATTGAGATGATACACCAGCTTGGCCTGGGCGGCGATCATATTTGGACAGAGATCCGGGTTGTACACCGGAGTCTCGCAGTAACCCGAGGGATCCAACGCGGCTGTTTGTACAGGAGCCAATTTTAGAGAAGAAAGTTGACTATTTAGAGGGGGAAAAATGGATTATGAATTTTTAAAAAAAAAATAAGCTTTTTATTTGTGCGTTGAGCACATGCACAAAGTCGGGCAGTTAAATCATCAGCTTCTGTTTTCAATTGCGACCAACAAAAAAAGTCAAAGCCCTTGCTCTAATTCAGCATTTAAAAGTCCATACGCACGGATCAGTAGTTCAGCAAACCTCTTGTATCCACGTGCGGTGTCTTTTCTCTGTTTGCAATAGGGGTTGGAAAGTGCAGGGTGCTCTTAAGTGTGTCCTAGTTGTGTTGGTGTGTTTAAGACTCCGAACTCACTCCTGAGAAATTATAAAGGGAGGGTTTGAGGGGAGCTCGTCCAATCGAGGCCCGAGTCGTCACTGCCTTCAGTTTTTTGACGACAGATTAATCCTCCGCTTTTATACACAACCAAATCATCTGGTGGAAACACACCTACACTTTGGAGGGAGAAGATACAGGTTTATTCGCGACATATACGGCTTTCCTGCTATTCTTATTAGATAGAGATTATGCCTGTTATTATTTAGGCTATTTTCTTTTTATCAGAAAAAAATGTCATTTGAGAATAGAATATTTAAGATGTATAATTTGATATATATATATATTTAAAAGTTTCATTTTCAGTATCGTTTTAAAATCTGTATTACAATTTGACAAAAATAGTCTGTCGTTTGTATATATTTGTTCTCTGTAGTTTGACGTGCATAATGTTTTTCGTTGACCTGTTCATTCGATTTTTCTTTTGGTGTTGCGGTATTGTTTCACGTGATATTTTCAATGTTTAAATGTCCACGTTTGACAATAGCGTTAGTGTATGTTAATATTATACTAATAGAGATATTATTTCAATTATTTTGCAATATTAAGATGGTGACATGTCTCAGTACCGAACGCCGGAATCTTTTGTTCCATTTGAAATATTTCAAACATTAATCCATGTTATTAGTAATTTTCTTATAAAACAGCAAATGAAGCATTATGTTCATTTGTGTCGTCGTCTTACTTATAGCATATAAAAAGATTAGGTTTATGTTTTTGTGAAGTTCACTGTTAAATGAAGATGAAGGCCTTTTTAGTTTATATAAAGTGCGTTAAGGCGTTCTTCCTATCATATTTAAATTCCTGTCGCACTGTGTATCTAATTAGTTATTTAAATTTTAATTATTTAAAAAAAAGAGTATTCTGTAAATTTTTACTTTTGCATAGAAATAAGCCATTCCGAAGTGGTATAGCAAATGTAAAAGGAGAAGCGTCTTTTTGATCTTTATAATTCGTCTTTTGCCAGAGTTCTTTTATGTTTTGAATTAAAACTAGTTCTTTATTTGTTCGATGGAAAGAAAATATTATCTTAAATCTGAACTTATTGTATAATTTTGTATTAACTACTATACATTTTCTGTTCTTGTCCAGTGTACAATTAGTCACAAACGTTGTTTCAAAATCTTGTGCTTTTATAACGTGCCTGTGTTTTCTTATTTTAACATTTTATTAATTTTTTTGTCCTTCAAATTAAACGTTCAAAAATCCTACTGCAATAAGGAAATATTTGATCGATTTGAGATAAAATTCTTCAGATCACGCTACTACGATATCTGGAAAAATATAAGTTGTGTATCAATGCGCGAAATGCAGAAACACCTTCTCGCTATATTATTTCTGAAATCAAATAACAAACAAGATCACCTCGTGGCTACGTGACAAGATTCCTCGTGCCCTTTCCAAATCCCCATCATCACATGACACGGCGCTTATATGGCACTCACTGAGTAAAAACATTTCTCTTCTTTAAAAAAAAAAGGAGACAAGTTTGAACGGATGTTTAATAGACTATGATATATTTATACATGTTCTTCATATATCTATAAGCATGTCTGTTTCAGTAGATCAGATTGTTAGGTACTCAGGGCATCACAGTCTGTTGGCTCTAGCCCTCACTGTAGTCTGCTTGGCTCCTTCTGCCTGCATGGTTTTGCCAACCATAATTAATAGAGCTCTGCTGTTTGCAGGCAGAGATCACACTTATCAATTGTCCTTCGCCTCTGTCTGGAAATAAAAGCAAGGTGAATGCTGTTTGGGCCTTTGACAGCAATTCAACACTATATTCAAAGCAAACATTTATAATATATATATATATATATATATATATACATTTAAAAAAAGAAAAACGTGTTCAAAAGACTGTATGACCAATATATCTGATATAAATTAATTTAAGTATAGGCTACTGTACATGCATTAGGTGACATGAAACCTTTGTAGATTTTTGGGGGATGATTTGACACATGAGAGGAAGAGA